CTGTCTTCTTTACCCGCTACCGTACACACTCGGATCGCCTCAGGCGATTTCTTCTACACACAGGTGCTTCACAGAGTTTCCGATTGTATGTTGAATGATTATGTAATTCGGCTGGATACCAGCTAAAAGACTTGAATAATTTTGGACGAATAAAAAGCACAGTGTTACATTAAAATCACGATACTGGTTTCAATACCGAACAAAGCTATGAACCGTCAATTTATTAAGTTAATTAAATTCATTAATTTGTTGTACCTAAACAGATAAAAATGAGTACAAACTTAAACACGACAGTATTTATTGTGCGTTCTACTTTAATAAAATAAATAAGTACATGTTCATTGTTCTTCATTTAGTTAGCCCCCCCCCCCCATTTTAATTTGAAAAGAAAAAAAGAAACTAGATCCATGTGAACGTCTACCGACACTCTATTAGAAAAGAACATTGATATTAATTTCTATTAAAGTTTTGTTTCAGGAGTATGCATAGACAAAAGATGATAATATAGTCACAGTTTTACATGTATTTAAATTAAAAAAAACACTTTCAGGTGGGGATCCAGAAAATCCAGATTCGAAAATCAGCTAAAAGATGTACATTATTTCAAAAGAATAATGCGGACAGTAACTAAATCAATTAATGTCAAAGGATCAATGATCAATGCAGGCCCGTAGCCCCCCCCCCCTCCCCCTGTCCAATGAATAATATAAAAAGTCTTTTTTTGTTAATTCAAATCCCCCGTCTGTCTTTTAATTTTGGTTTCTTCTTGCAAATGCTTGGAATCGGGTGTGTTTGACTGCACAAAAACAAATATGGGCGGCCTCCACATAATTAAAAATTTTACATAACAAACGCCTGTCCTCAAAAGGGGGCACCCACGGCCTCACCGCGCACTATGAGTTTATTAAAATTGTTCAAACTAATTTGAATAAATTAAATTAAAATTGAATAAAACACATCTAACCTAACAGTTTAATTCTTCAAATTAATATTAAAGGAAGTCAGTGAGTCAATGTTATTTAAGAAAATATTATAAAATGCATGTCTTGTAATAACATTGTTTTCATATAAAAAGGAAAAGACCTCTGTAAAATTTCATATCTCACTACTAAAGAAAGATTTTTATTTTTTTTAAATTGGTTATCTTATTGAAGGTTTTAAAATTTTATCCCTTCTCTTGAAAATATTTTTTTACAAATAAATTTACTATAAATAGACCAAAGAAGTTTTTTTTTCAAAGATATCATCTGGACATAGTTCAAAATTATATGAAAAAACAAATAAATGAAATAATAATCTATGTTGAAAAAAAATCAATTTCACACCACTGCAGCCTCCCCGAGAGCGAGAACAATAGGGACAGTAATTATCAGTAAATGTCAGCACTTGTCTAAGTTTTTCAGCACCGACTAAGATTGTCAGCACTTTTCTAAGTTTATCAGTACCGGCAGTAAAAAGGTCAGTAATTGTCTAAGTTTTACAGTAACGACAGCACATTGTCAGTAATTTTCTAAGTTTGTCAGTAAAAAATGGGAATGTCAGTACGTTTTTGACTTAGTAGTGCTTTCAATCAATTTCAAAAAAATTCTTTGAAAAGTACAGAAGGTTTTATTTTTGTTTGAATCAAGTCCATTATGCTACAAATAGCAGAGCTCAAACTAAACTACATGTAAGTAGAACAACTATTATTACTATGTGAATCACGATCAACAGTGTTCAATAACAGGTCACAGGATGCAGGACTGAGGAGTCGGCAGTTTTATCAGTTAAATAGTAAAAACATTAACCTGTGAGCTACGCTAGCGTAAACAAAGTCTCGTTTTTTACACTGTTTTTCTGATAAAATTGCCTGTACCACCTCCTAATTTTTTTATATTCATTTTTTCCCCACTTGGAATATTAGATTAACTTTCAAACTTTTAATCCGTATTCGTTTACTTTTTCACATACGGGTCAGTAAAAAAAAAATAGAATTTAATTCCCATCTTATCATGCTTATGCCATGTCTAATTTACATATGCAGTGATAAAATGTATTAAACTATATTAATTTGAACATTTATTTTGAAATTTGAAAAAAAAAAATTAATTAAATAAAGTTGATAACAAATGTACATGTATTGTACATAATTTATGTTGCAGCTGAAAACAATATTTATTTCATAATTCTTACTTGATAATTACAAGCATTAAGAGAAATAATGTGGGTTTTTTACCTAACATAAAAAATTATGGGATAATAAACCCCACATTTTATTTTTAGTGAGACCTGGGTTAAAAAACCCCACGAAAAATAATATGGGTTATTTAACCCCATGAGGGAAAAAATAAACGTCATGGGGTTTTTGTGGGGTTTTTTGTTGGGAATTTTTAAGTTCATGTTTCCCCATGGGATTTTTTTTAACTCAAATATCTCAAAAACTAGCAGAAAATGTAATTTTTTTTTCATAAATCAATTTGATTATAAAACCACCACCATTTAAAAAAAAAACCCTAAGTTTTAAAGAAAAAGGGTGCGCAAGTTCGGAAAAATGTCCATTCCGAAGTTGCCCGTCCCACTGTTTATATTTTGCGTATGGTCTACGGTACTATTGTTATAATGGACAATTTGATTAGTATGAAAAATAATTTTAATGGAATAAGTAGTATTGTGAAAATACATTATACTGAAATTAAATGCATTTATATTTTATAATAATTCATTCTTAAAAAGATATTTATTATATTGTCTTCAGTTGATTTCTTTTTATATGACTTCTAACAATCAATAAAAATTAAATTTCAACAAGCATGACAACAACGACAACATATGAAGTTGAAACGACAAGAGGTATTATATAACTTTTAGTTTATATCATGAAACACATGGGAAATATATTTTCATTACATGAGTAGTAATTCCATGACCAGCAACCAAAAATAATACCTTTATTTTTCTTATAGAAGTTATATACCCTGTTTATGGTGAAGATCATGCAGTGTAGCTTCTTAATAAAGGAACAAATAGATAAACGAAATTTGAAATAAAAATACTGTTAAGGTACAAAGATAATACTCACTACAGTTTTTACAATTATAATCAAACAAGAATAAATACTAGTGGTAAATAAACTCATCGTAAGTTAAATGTTTCCAGTATTTCCGTTTTTTGGAGAGAGGGCGTCTTTTTCTTTATTTATCGTAATTTATTTTTAAGGGAAGATGTAATTAAAATACCTTAAAATTTTATAAATAAAGATATGAAGTTGGTGCAGACGGCAGTGGGGGAATCCGGAGGAGGGGTCAAAAAATTATATTCCTCCCGGTTCATGATTTTGTATTTTAGAAATGTCAAAATGTTGTGAAAATAAAATAGACCTTTTTTAAACCCTTTGTCTTTCACAACAATGAGAGGAAATCTCTCTCCGCTTGAACGCACACAATATACAGGAATCTAGCAGTTACGAAGGAGACGAAGATTAGTCCGTGCAGATACATGTACTCTGTGTTTACATATAATATATCTACCGAGGGAAAAAAGTTTACTTACCGATGCAAAATGCACATAAAATGTTTTTCAGACATTGTTTGTGGTGGAGTTTATTAATTGTTTTTCAGTAAATTCTTGTTTACACGATGTAAAAACATTTAGACCCAAAATAAATTTAGAAAAGAATGAGACTTCAAAGACGACTCAGAGAATGCTGATTACATAAAAATCGTATTCTAATCCTATATTTGAAGATTAATAATTTTAAAATACCTTCATTTATAGCCCCAATGAAAGTGACACTGCGATAGATCGTTGTTTTAATCAATCCACTATTAAAGTAATTAAATAGCTAAAATTTACAAAACAGAATACGAAAATATAAATTAATATCAAATATCATGAACAGTACACTGGGTGTTTTATCGTGCATTGTCGTATAAATATATCACATACAGTAATTTATATGGAAAGTTGTGGCTCTTAATGGAATGAACTCATTAAAAGTTGTTCAAGAATTATTAAACGCTATAAAAGTATTTGAAAATTGCTTTGGCGGTTTTTATAATTATTTAGATACATGAGAGTATATTTATTAGAAAATAATTTTCGTTTTGTACTTCAAATATTTTAATATTTCAGCCTTTAAATTTCTAAAATATCATAACTGTTACTTTTTGATTTTTTTTTTAATTTCCTGTGATTTGGTTTCGTTTAATTTTTGCTTTGCTTTATTATTTCAAAGGGAGGTAACTTGCGTTTTAGACCATGCAATACTTTTTTTCATCTTTAATCGCTAAGATGCACCGCGACGGTGTGATTTACCTGGATTGATGAACCGCAGGGGCACGCAGTTTTTACACGAGACACATGTACTGTAAAGATGTCATATTGACTGTATATACTCTTTTTATATACAGTAAATATTACATTTTTAAACGTGCTAATTTCAGCGAATTTTTATTTTTATTTTGATGAGGGTATTCAGACACACCTAGAAAGACACATAGTACACAAAATACACCATCCTGTAACCAAGCGCCTATGTAACTATTGTAAATCTTCTTTGAAAGTTGGTTGGCTACCCATTTCGTAGCACAGGAAAGTGATATCCAGGAAATTAAATGTAGTATTATATGCAAAGAAAATGAAAAGGAAGGAAATTTGGAAAAATTTGGTCACTATCCCCCCCCCCCCCCCCCTCCGAAATATGATTTTCGAGTTTGGGCAATTTCCTTTTTTTTTGGTTTTTTTGCTTGTCAACTTTTATAGATAAGTAAAAAAAAATTTCTCTGGCTTCCCCTCCCTTTCAAAAACGATGCTACGTGCCTGACTTTATTTATTTCCCGGGCGACAATGGATGGTTACATAAATGTTTTCTTCTTTTATATTGTTGTCGGGGGGGGGGGGGGGTACATGTACTGAACCTGCTCTCAGGTCAAATTCATGACGGGAACACCAGCTTAAATAAATCATTAGTAAAGGAATGTAACGTTGTAAACGGAGATAAAACTTAATATTTATCTACTTACTTGGTTTTCTGTAAGGTTTGTTGTCGATGATATAAATGTCGTTGTGTGGAAGTAGACCTATACAGGATCTCACGATGTCAGGTCTATTGTATTCCCCGTGTCTCCAGAGCCACGTCACGTGATCTACACTGTCCTGTGATCGTCTTCTGTAATATAAAGCCTCTTCTTTCTGTCTTAGATCCGTTAGAATTTTTTTTCTTTTATCTTTATCGTCTTTTTGTATATTTTTTGAAACATTCACTGTAAAACAAAGACGAGTATTAACTGTGCGAATTGTATTATTTGAACAAAGAAGATGAACCAAGTGTATATCTTATGTATAACTATATGAAAAGATAAATATATTTCTAATCACAAAAAAGATTAAATAAAAATATCATGCATTTTTTTTAGAAATTAAAATGATGCATTTTTGTGTATGTATGCTTTGTAGTATCAATGCAAGCTTTGCTGACTTAAAAAAATAATTTAATATTTAGGAGTTATATTATGAAAATTTTAAGTAATGCTGACATTCTCATATTTAAAAATTATCAATTTGCAGAGATCAATCTCTGATCTGAAACATTTTTTCTAAATTCTAGAAATAATTAATTTATCCACACAGACTTACATATCTGGTATATGTCATCATATATACTCGTGTCCTCCATGGTGACGTGACTCAGTATGTTCATCTGTAGACGGAGTATCAGTAAGGGAGAACAGATACTGTCACTACTAGTGACACACTTCTCTCCAGGTTTTTTGTTGTAGCCAAATGATCTCAGGTACACACTGGCTGTGTCACAACTACCGTAAATGAATGGTATATTAAAGTTTATTGATGCTATCCTATACATTGTCTCATCCCTTGTGTCCTCCGTTATCTTGTCCTGATCATCCAAAAGACAATCACGTGACTTCAGTCTGTCCAGAGTCTGCTGTGCTTTCTCACGTGTTACAGGATTATATTTACGGTACACTTCCTGTCGTATATCATTAAGCAACTCCAGCCACTCTGTGTCAGTGAAGTCAGGAGGACCGGAGTCAGAACACAGAAAACAGAATAACACCGACACCTCGTCATCACTCAGTTCAGAGAACTTATCTAAAAAAAATATGTAATGAAATTTTATAAGTATTATCTACTCATACGAACTGTGTAAAAATATAGTTTGATTAAAAGCCCTGAATTATTTTGTTAAAATTACTAGTTTGCGATCATTTTGTTTCTTGTGTTTTCTTTTAATCCACATTGTGTTTGTTATTTTGTAAAATACAAGAGTTCTGTTTCTAGTAATTACATTTTCAATAGATTGATTGATTATATGTTGTTTAACGCCCCTCTCGAGAATTTTTCACTCATATGGAGACGCCACCACTTGCCGGTGGAGGTCTACAAATTTTGTCATATGCTCGGCACTCAGGGCCTTTGAGCAGTGAGGGAAACTTTTTCGTGCCAGCACCTACTGCGTCACGGGGCCTCGGTTTATACGGTCTCATCCAAAGGACCGATCCCCACGTTCCACAGTGGGATTCGAACCCGCAGCGTAAGGATTGACTCCTTACTTCGCGACTCTAGAGCAGACGCTCTAACCACTGCGCCACGCGGGCGACCTTTTTCAATAGAAAACAAAAAGTAAATGTGCTTTTTTTTAGATAGAAAATATAAGTATGAATCTTGACGATATTTTATTTGTAAGAATTTGTGACCTTGGTCTTTTATTATCTATACTCTAAATCAGAAGAACTATTCTTAAGCCATATCAGGGTTTTATGATTAAAAAAGAACTTTGATGTTGCACACAGAAATTCATGTCGATTTGGTTACTACAAAATACCATTTTTGAAACGCATAAGTTATATTAAATCCTTAAATTAAGAATAATTGATTTAAAATTGCCCTGGTGAGTTGATTTATAATATTTCGATAATATCTACTGTCCTTTAATCCTTAGGTTTTATTTTCATAATCTTTCGTTTTCACATACAAAGAAAACCTTGGCATTCTATCCGCAGAGCAAACTCGATCTATAAAAGCCGAATTAACGTTAATCTGTGAAACTCCCCGGAGAGATATTGGCGAGGCAATTAATGTCAGTAGTTTTGAGGGAAGGATCTTAATATTAATTGGGTTTAAAACATATATAGGTACAAAACTAATATTGTACAAGTCTTTGCAACCATTTATGTTTTTTTTTTTTTTTGGGGGGGGGGGGGTGTCATTTTAATGAAATACTGTAAAAAATAAATAAAAGAAAAAGAAATTTATAAAAATTATTAATTATATTAAACTTATTCGTCAGCAGAAATAAGCTGTCTTTCAATTTTTTACGCATTTCCATATGATTTTTTCCCCTTAGTATTATCAACGTCAGGTATGATGAACTTGGTAGTTATGAAAGTACCGCACGTCGAATTATGGGGAAAAGGGTACCAGATTCTCGGACGTTGACATCGTTTCCTGGTTTAACAAGGGGGGGGGGGGGGGGGCGGGGGAGTACTAAATGGATAGAGGTATCACACCGGTAATTGACAAAACAAAATGAACTTAGTCAAATGTAAGTTCATACATATCAAATTGATTTTCCTTTCTTTTGAGACGTTTTTCTATTCTCTTCCAATCCATTTTACAACTTTGGTACCTGTGCCTAGTAAATTTTATGTACTTTTTGAACAAATTAAGGTTTTTAACAGGAACTATTTTTTCCGGGCATGGGAGGCTAATACCTGTGATGCAATCTGAATGTTTATAAACACATTAAAAACCACGTGGATTTGAGGTAGCCCTGTTTGCAGAGAAAAAGTCAGAAAATGCCGTGTAGGTACCGTTTTCTGTGTGTGTGAGGGTGTGTCAGCTAGTGTGACAGTTAATGTTTAACACGTACACCAGCAAAATATTTTTTTCAAGTAAACAATTACCTGATTTTTTAAAAACAATTTCTTGAATTCTATATGGGCTTTGATTTTGAAAACAATAACCGGTGTGATACCTAGACGCAAACTGACTGGCTATGTTAATATTTTCAGTTTATTGTAAAAAATATCACTGATAAAAATAAATGGTGGAATGTATCAAGTTTATTTTTCTTTAGCTAAGAAAGCTGATAACCTAGGATTCACCCCTTGAAATCGAAATCTGCTGCCGTAAATTGTCTTGCCAGCGTTTGGGGAATATGTGTGATTTGCATCAATAACACTTTTATTGAATTCATCGGTGCGCGTAAATCGGACGAGATTTCTTGGCATGTTAACTTTCATTTTAATAACTTGACTTCATGTTTAAAATGAGTGGAGATCTGATTTTCTTCTCTACATATTAGGTATTGTAACATTCTATTCAGCAGTGTTGATTTCTTTAAACGACCCCGGTCCCTCTATAATGTTGTTAATCTCCTTTTAACGATCCCCTCTTCAATGTTTTATTCTTCTTTCAATCTGTATTTTGCTTCTTCGTCTTTTAGTCATTATTCTTTTTCCTGTCATATGACAGTTTTATATTGTTCTTTAACACGGCAATAATCAGCCAGTATTTGATATTTTATGGCATTATCCAAAGGGCGTCCAAACAGGACTACACAAACGAATGAGATTTAATGTCCCCTCGCTTTTGCGAAAGTTAGGGATAATATTGATTTATTGTATTTAAAAACTTTGAAGCATTTGGTTATTTAATGATATTAACCAGGTCTGGACGATTTCCGAATATGGAAGTTAAGAACAATAACGATAACGGAAAGTTGATATAAAATAAATTTTCTTCAAGCAAGCGTAAATGTTTTTACCGAATCATAAAACAGCTTTTTACACATCTTTAAACAGCTTTCAAAGAAAGAATAGAAATCACGTGCCTTTTTTTCCTCAAATGATTTTTATGGCAAAATATACTTTGAAGTAGGATGAAGAGTTCGGAAAATTGAATCCCTACATAATTACCGTGAAGCAACCTTTACATTTTAATCTCAGTAAAGGTAAAATAAAGTGACACGCCACAGCATGATACGCTCGTCAAAAAATTACAAATTATCTAAACAATTTAGAATGCAATCATGTCAAGATTTCTATGATTTTTCCATTCCTTAAAATATTTGTTTATCCATACCCTGTGGTGTAAGCATTATAACAATATTAAATAATTGATAGCTTTCTATACTGGTTGTGTTATACTTTGCCAAATGCCCATCATATTAAACAGTATCACATGAGTCTGAACAACTTAATCTATGCGAAATTAATTTTGAAATAAAAGGCTAGTAATCAGTGAAATATGCTTCAAGCTGACAAACAGTTCTTCTGTCTTATTCCCAAAGGGTTTAGATAGACCGTTTGATCAGAGATGCTCTAAACAAATGATTGAGACAGCTAGCCTTCCTACATTGAACTTATTAATTAATCTTTGAAGGGAAATGGAAGGATATGCACTTTCTACCCTAAAACATTTTTAAAACATATGAAATACTCAATGATATTTTAAGATATAACATCAAACAGGTATGAATATGCAATTCATATGGACTAATGGATCCGGACATGCTGATTCGCCCACATCCCCTTAAAATTAGTGTTTTAATTAATAATATTAAATAATATCAAATAAGTTTATTATGCATGAATATCAAATAAGTTTTAATCAAATTCATTTTAAAACTTATGCTAGCAAACAAGAGCTTTTTCTAATCCAGCAGGTTGACCCATCTACCTAATGCCTAAAGGTCTTATGTAGATAGCACTTGCTTAATCAGAGATACTCTACTAGTTAACTCCTTACACTATAATCTCATTAATTTATCTCTAATTTGACATGTGATGTTATCAGAATTTTCATGACCAGTGCTTTGGTAATTACACTCATGGGAAAGGTAATATCTCTCTAATATACATTATATTTGTTATAGATTGCTGTCAAGTGAAACAGACATTTTCTTATTTCACTTCAATTAAAGGTCACAGTGACTACGAAATAGGTCGCGACACACCTTCTACCTAAGATGCATAAGTTTGATTATTCTGAGTCGTACAGTTTTCTAGCTATGGGCCGGAATTTTTTTTCCATATTTGGCTATAACCTTTTAATGAAAGGTCAAAACGACCTAATTTTTGTGTGCGACACACCTTCCACCTAAGATGTTTCAACTGACAAAGTTCTATACCGCTAGGCCTAATAGTATCAAACTTAAAGCTAACAGGCAGAGAGACGGAACGACAGACAGACGGACGGACATGAAGCCTAAATCATAAAACGTCCCATCTTAAGACGGGAGTATAAACCCTCGCATGTATGAATGTAACTGAAATGAGATCATTTACAGAGGAATAGATCATATCATCAAATTATTATCGATAACAGTTATAGCAGTTACTGGAAAATGTTTCCTGTGTTGTAAACATAATTTCATTTTGTGGTCACTGTGGAGCTTACATTTTGGAATGTGTTTACGCTATCTTTGTGTAATAAGCAAACATGTCACTTTGTGTTATAAAATGCAGTGTAACCTTTGTTCCAAAAATTGTAGAGGGCTGATATTAGGACACATATATATAAGGAGTCTCCATTTTTCATGTTCAACAAAGGTCAGGGTTATATCGAGAGGTCAAGGTCAAATATTTTGATGTTATCTAGTTAATTTTATAGTTTTTTGCAATTGAATTTATTTTATCGCAAAAATATCTGAAACCACTGGTTCAATTTTCTTCATGTTACACATTTTATTCTAGGACCTATTCGAATCCTTCTGTTGATTTTTTGTTAAAAATGAATTATACATTTTCGCTGAAGAAAACTTAAACTGTCGGATATTTACATGTGAATTTTAAATTCCTACACTACGTATGTTCTATTTTTACTTAATATTTTACTCTTTTCCAGTATCAATAATACTTATTTAAGGTCATACGCAACGTAGTTTGAACTTTTGGGGGTTCTTCCCTGGAGTTGAAGAGTTCCACTAAATGAAGGACCTGTGTGCAATATTTTTAATGTCTATATATGGATTTGTACACCTCTTCTAAAACAATTTTTGATGAATTAAAATCTGGAATTTGTGTTTTATAATTTTTGTACATTTTTTTTGAATTATGCAAAAAAAATTCAAAATTCGATATCTTTTC